GGAAGTCAGTGCCCTGCCCCGCCAGGAGGGAAGCCACACTTTCTGCCAAAGTGATTAAAAACGAACTCAGGCAAGAGGCAAAAGGTGGGGGATCTCAGGGCCCCCAGAAAAGATTAAAGAGGGAGAACACACAGCTGGTGCTGACTGCTCTCCACATGATGCCAGGTTCCCAATGAGGCGCCGTACGGATGGAAGCAAAGCGGTTTTTCTGCATCTCAAACACGGACGTCAGAGAGGAAACTGAAGACCAGGTTGGTCTGGCTCAGGAAGGCCAAGCACATAACCTGACGCATTCCAGCAAGGGATGGGACAGGGACAGCTGCCGTTCACACCCCGAGCTCACCTGCCCAGCTCCTCTCCCATCTCGTACTGGTCCTCCACGTCCTCCTGCCGGAAGGTAGACATGGCGGCTACCCGCCTACCGGCCAGCAGCTTCTACTCCAGCAACAGCTGCCCACAGTCACTGCAGCCCTGGAGGGAAAGAAAGCAGGTGAAAGCTCACCATTTCTCCCCGCTGAACAGACAGACACCTGCTTACCACACTGCTCCTCCCTGAGTTCACAGGTCCTCTGAGAAGCTGGGTGTGGTGGCGCACGCCTGCGATCCCAACACTCGAGTGCAAGGCCAGGCCAGTCTGATCTACAAAGTGAGACCCTGTTTCAAAACAAAACAAGCCCCTCCGGGAGGCCCTCCATTTGCTAAGTTGCCCAGGCTGGGCTTGAACCTGCAAGTCTCCTGCCTCAGCTTCCCAGAGCGCTACAGGCATGTGCCAACATGACAGGTATTTCCCAACACACCCAGCTGCAAGCTCACTGTTTTTGTTTTTGTTTGAGACAGGGTCTCTCAATGTAGTTCAGGCTGGCCTCCAACTCGCAGGGATCCTCCTGACTCAGCCTCCCCAATGGTAGGACGACACGCCTGTGCCTCCACAGCCCGCTCTGCAAGCCCACTTTGGGTGCTGCTGGCCTCTGCCGCCCTAATAAAATTAACCTCTCCCTCTATCTAGCAAACGCCTCCACCCGCAAACGGCCCTCGCAGTCTCAGCCACCGACCTTCACGCCCAAAGCGCAGCCAGGTCCCCTCCCCCAAGGTGTCCCCTCCCCTAAAGTCCGCCTCAAGCATCCCTGAGGCCGACACGCCCCTCGCAAGCCCAGTCAACTACTCTATTTTCCAAAAACTTTCTCCTACGGTTTTGCTAGCTCTCTTTGTACTCCAAGGGTCCCCAGGGCGCTGTCCCGGTTCCACCCAGCCCGCCGGCCTAGGCCGGAGCCCATTGGCACCTCAGCGGCCACGAGTCCCGAGCCGGTCCAGCTACTGCGCAGGGTACAACCTCCTCCTCTGGTCTGGGACTTCTCCTCGCACCTGCGCAAACGCCAGAGTCCACCAGCTCCCGCCCCCGGAAGGCGGACCCCACCACCCACTGGCTGGTCTGCCCGCCGCTCATGCCTCATCTCAACACCCGCCCCCTTTTTTTTTTTTCAGGGCACCGCCCCCGGATACGACTCACCATTGGCTGACTGTCTGACTTTGCCTAACCTGATTGGCTGTTTGGATGCTAGTCAAACACAGGAAAGAAGGCGGACGGGGCTCTGGAGCGCCCCACCCTCTCCTAAACGGATGTTAAGTCTTGCAACCGCTTGGCTTGCCTCTCAGATGCCAAGGTTCAGCCAGGGGTGGGGGTGCCTGGCAACTCCTAGGGTGAACCTTGGACCTGCTTTAGCCTGTGTGGAAGTTTCGCCATGTGAGACTAGTGGCTCACTACTAAAACTGAAGGGTGATGGGCATCTGAGACATCTTAGGAGCCGCGTGCGTTTCCCCATGTACAGATGCACACACTCACAGAGGTTACCCTGCCACGCAAAGGCAGAGCTGAGACACCCAAAGGTCAGAACCCGACACAAGAGCCCGACCTCACCCCGGCGTTTCCTTCGTCATAGGCCCAGGGCCCTGCTGGTTGGTGGAGCCGTGCGCACTCCCGACCACCCTGGGCATCACAGCGGGCAGCGGAAGGGCTCAGGAATACCCTGGGGGCCTCTGCACGCATCAACCACTGTCCCCAAAGTGCTTAGCACTTCTGCTCAACTGGTGCTCGCAGAACCAGCGAAATGGGGGGCGATCAGTAAAATGGGCTCTGAAAGCGCATGGGCTGGGGGTTTTTAGCTCAGCGCCACCGCCAGCCTCACAAGCACAAAGTCTGGGAGGAGTTCCATCCCCAGTACCAAGAAAGAGCTCAGTGCGGTGAAAAATCCTTTTAGAAGGAAGGTTTTTTTCATTATTACAGATACACAAAAAAATGTATGGGAAATACATTTAGCTCAGGATGCTTAGGCAGTATAAGTTCTTGGGGTTTTTTTGCACAGGGGATTCAACTGGGGACCTTGAGCTTTTGAGGCAGGCAGACTGAGCTAAATCCCTAAATGGCAGTTCAAGCTGGACCTGGAGGCGCACGCCTATGATCCCAGCTCTTGGAGGCTGAGGCGGGACTGCCCTGGAGTTCAAAGCCTGCCTATGCTACACCAGTTCAAAATAAGCAGAAACCACACAGCCAGGCCATCTCAGAAATATTGAAAGAAAAACCATGAAGTTCAAACAAAATGGTGCACTACATATATAAATGGAAGCTGCCTGCTAGGTCCTGACCTCTCGGTGGTGACACAGGGCAAGCGCTCCAGATGAAGGGCACCAGCTGCAGCACCAGCCCACCTCCGCCGGGCCACCTGGCACCTCCACAGGAACTTGGCCGGCATCACTCTCATCACAGCCTCCGGCCGCACCAAGGCACAGACCGACTGGGTGACGCCAGGACAGGACTGCAGACTGTTTCCCAGGGGACGCAATGGGGCACTTGGTTCCGGGCTGCCACTCGGACAGCTCGGTCCACTTCCACCTGCAGACGCCCGTCAATGACGTACAACGAGGCCATGTGGTCACCACCGCACTGAATTTATTATTCCAATGGCACTGACACAGCCGGTGGAGCTCGTGGTGACACCGCACAGGACCCCTTGCCTCCCGGGCAGGACTCATCCACCCACCTGTTCCTCCCTCTAGGGTAAGAGCCGCCTCAGGCCATTTACCCAACTCGACCTCGTAATGTGTTTATTTTAAACTTTTGGACATCTGAGTTGTGTTTCCCTCTGAACAAATGAACGACGAAGGACTGGGTGTCCTGCCCCACCTCCCCACCCACCGGCCCAAGAAGTCCCTGTGGAGAGGACGTTTCCACAGCCTCTGGAACTAGAAATAAATAGAGAGAAACGGCATCAAGTGTGAATGGCGCGGTGGCACGAGCAGGCCCGGAAACCTGTCAGGCGGAGGTCACTGTGTGGGGACAGTCTCAGGTGTCATTTGAGAATGCGCGGACGTGCTGTCGTGGTGGAGCCGGGGGAGCGGTGCCGCCTACAACTTGTCCAGGAAGTTGTCCAGGGCCGGGATGCCCTCCTTCAGGCCCTTGCGCTTGCGGGTCTCCGCCACCACCTGGCTGGGGCGGCTGGTGCTGTCGAAGGGGTCACCGGGCAGGATCTGCCAGTGGTCGAACACGCACTGGGGGAAGGCCTGGCCGCCGGTGTTGGACCGCAGGTCGGCGGTGAAGCCTGTGGGGACAGAGGGCTGAGTGGCCCACGCTCCAGGAAGGACGGCCGAGACACCCTGGGCGGGGAGACGCCGACCAGGACTGCACAGCTGGGACCCATCGAAAGCAGCGACGGCACCGCTGCCCGTGGGTCCACAAAGGTCTCCGCCCCACTCAGCGGGAACGAGACCGCACTGGCCCCCACGACCGCCGCAGCAGGCACTCACCGAAGGACTCGTTGACGGGCAGGTAGGCCTTGACCACGAACATGGGGGTGCCAGCCACCTGGGACTCCTCAAACACGTGGCCTCGCTTCCTGTTCAGGACACCGTAGATGCCGCCAACCACTTGCTCTGGACACTGAGGGCAGGGAAAGAGCGGTCAGTGGCTGCGCGGCAGGGCACGGGGTAGAGGTCGCCGTGGGAGCACCAGGTCCGCCTCACCTGGATCTCCACGAGATAGATGGGCTCCATGAGGCGCGGCTGCGCAGTCAGCACGCTGGCGTAGAGGCACCGCCGTGCCGTGGGGATGATTTGGCCTCCGCCGCGGTGGATGGCATCAGCGTGCAGAGTCACATCGTGGACATCAAAGCGCACCCCGCGCATGTTCTCCTCACATAGCGCCCCCTGCAGGAGGGGAGAGAGACCACCCTGGGTGAACACAGCCCACCCACGGCCGCATGGCCCGGGAGCCAGGCGGGGACCCCTGCCCGCTCACCTCCTTGGTGGCCCACTGGAAGCCGGCCACCACGCTGTCCTTGATCTCGTTGAGATACTGCACCCCCTTGGTGATGTCGGTGAGGATGTTGGGGCCGGTGCCATCAGGCCCAAAGCACCAGATCTTGCGGGCCTCGGCCACATCCCACTCGTACTTCTCGGCAAGGTAGCGGGCTCGCTGCTTGAGCTCCTGGCGGGCGGACACCTCACCCTTGTCGATGTCCTCAGCCAGGCCATCGGGAAAGGGCCGAGCCTTCATGTACAGCCGGTTGTGCTTGTTGGGGGACTTGGAGAGGCACATCACATTGGACTCCTCGCTCACCGTCTCCCGGTACGAGACCACAGGGTCCGATTTCTGCAGGAGGGAGAGCCTGTGGGTCACACGCCTGCTAGGAACAGCAAGGACAGGCTCCAGAAGCGCTGCCCTTGGGCACCAGTCGGTGCATCCCACCTGCATAGTGGCAGCCCTGGACAGGGGGCACTGAGCCTCACTGGCAGGGCCACCTACTCTGGGACCCATGAAGCAGTAGCTGCGTCCCAGGTGCAGAACCCTGGGGCCACCTGGGCACCACCAAGCTTTGCTAGAACCAAAGATGGGCGGGGAATGGCACAGCACCTCCCAGCAAAGCCGAGACTTACAGGGCTCCAAGAGGGGCAGAGTAAGATGTCACACCGAGCAACAAAGCCAGCCAGAGTCCCCAACACCGTGCCAAGACAGGTCCCAGCCTCGCGAAGCCCACCTTGATGGGGATGCAGGCGTGGTCCTCCTCCAGGTCTTTGAGGCAGATCTCGAGGTGCAGCTCGCCCGCGCCCGCGATGATGTGCTCTCCAGACTCCTCGATGATGCACTGTGAGGGCCACGTGTAAGACACAGCCCAGGGACTGGCCAAGTGCCTTCCAGTGCCCAGGAAGGGGGCACCTGTCCACTGGGACCCACCCACATCAAGGGGACACAGGGGGCAGACAGAAACCTCCACCCCTAGACGTCACCATGTCCATTCAACAGTGGTGACCTCCTCACACCCTAGGCCACAAGCAGACCCCGAGCTCACACCCACCTGCACCATGGGGTCCGACTTAGCCAGTCGCTTCAGCCCCTCCACCAGCTTGGGCAGGTCAGCAGGGTTCTTGGCCTCCACAGCCACCCTGACGACAGGGCTGACACTGAACTTCATCACACGCATATTGTGGGCGTGCTCAAAGGTAGTGATGGTGCCAGTCTTCACGAGGAACTGGTCCACACCCACCAGACCCACGATGTTCCCGCAAGGCACATCCTCAATGGGCTCCACATAGCGGCCCATCATCAGGATGGTCCTGGGAAGAGCAGGGGGGGCTCTGTTGAGGGCCAGGCCTCCCCGGAGCTGGAGCAGGGACTTCAAGCCCCACAGCTCAGTTCTGCCCGTACCCCAGGCACCCGTGTTGGTGAGGGTCTCAGAAACACTGTGGGTCACTGTCTCCCGAAGGCAGGGCTTTAGTCGACAAGCGGTACACACCCGTCACCCACCACTCTGGAGCCTGAGGCACCTCAAGTTCAAGCCCAGCCTGGGCAACTTAATGGCTTACAAAGACCCGCAAAGAAAAACGTGTTGGGGGTGCTCAGTGTCCCCAAAACAGCACAGCCAGGAGCTCTGAGCAGGACTGTCCCGCCCTGGCCCCTCACCTCTGGATGGGCTTCAGGTAGAGGTCTTCCTTCTTCCCAGGAGTGTAGTTGGGGCCCATGATCCGGACCTTCAGGCCCGTGGACACCAGCCCTGAGAAGACACGTCCAAAGGCGTAGAACCGACCTTTGTCGGAGGTTGGCACCATTTTGGAAATGTACATCATGAGAGGGCCTTTGGGGTCACAGCTTTTGATGCCTGAATGGGAAATAGAACACAAAGAGAAGTCACTCCTAGGGCCGGGGATTTAGCTCAGCGGCACCGCACCTGTCCTGCCAAGTGCAAGGACCTGAATTCAATCCCCAGGATAGGAGTAAAAAAAAAAAAGTCACTCCTGCTTTAAACCGCCCAGACCCAAGCCTGTGAGTCTGCCTGGAGCTGGCCACACCTACCCATGGCAGCCTCGTCATCCGGGGGTCCCTCGTACAGCAGCTCGCAGCGGTACTTCTGTGCAGTGACAGGCGACGGCAGGTGGATGGTGATCATCTGCAGCAGTGCGTCCCCAGCAGGCAGCCAGCGGCGCATCACAGCCTATGGGCAGCAGGGCAGGGGCTCAGGAGGTACCAGGACCTCGTGCTCGGGACCCGAGGGAGCCATCCCAGAGAGGACTCGGCCCTGTGAACCACACGCCCTGCTAAAGAGCAGTGCCACTGGGGACCCCACCCTGCCGGCCAGCACCAGACCAGTACATCCCGCCCAAGGGCCCCTCCCTCTCCTCACCTTGAGCAGCGGCTTGCCCTCCTTGTCCTTGTCCTCACTGTCCAACTTAATGTCCAGCTTGTCAATCAGTTTCGCTGTCTCCTCTTTCTTGAAATTCATGATGGCATCAAACACCTGCATCACCGGGGAGACCAGGGGTCCAGTCGGGACGAGCAGACCACCTCATGACAGAGAACACAAGGACAAAAGGCCCCTCTGCCTCATGGGCTGGAAACACACCTGCTACCCACACCTTTGGCCTACCCTTCAGGAGTCTCCACGTCACACCAGGGTGACCTGGGCCCAAACCTCAGGCAGGTAGGTGTCCAGCAGATCAGGTGATGGGCCCAATACCGTCCCTAGAGACCCAGTCTCACCTTGAAGATGGGGTCCAGGATGAGCTGGCAGAAGGTGCGGGGCAGCTTCTTCCCATCAGGGCTGGTGGCCGACTTGCTGAACTTACCGTTGGCCGAGTCAAAGTACCTAGCAGACAGGGAATGCGGAGCCATCAGACCTGGGTTCCCAAGGTACCACCAGGCCACAACCTGTCAGGCACACAGTCCCGACCGGCCCAGGCCCGGGCAGCCACACACTCACCGGTCACCCCACAGCTTCTTCATCATGTCCTCCACCTTCTTGGCCCGCTCTGCAGGCCCCAGTTGGCCCTCCCCTTTGGCAGCAAACTTGGCCACGTACATCTCGGCAAACTGCTTCAAGGTGAAGGCCCAGCCGTGCAGGCCAGAGCCGAAGCCCACGGTACCAAGGACAGGGTCAATCTGGGGGAGAAGAAAAGTGCGCGCAGTGAGTCGGGGGCTCTGGGCAGATTCCCCAGTGAAGTCCCTAGCACCAAGAGTATCAGACACTGGGTTTTCTTCAAGAGACATCAGGTCAAAGTGAAGAAATTTCAGTCATCACAAGGATGTGAATGAAGCCTGCCTTCTCGAGCAGGGCCACACAGGCTCACCGCAGACCTAGGGCTGGGTCCCATCACTAAAGCACCCAGCCCCTTCCCCCGCAGGCAGGAGGCGTACCATGATGTTGCCCATGGGGCCACTCTCGCCCTCGCCGTAGGTGGAGATGATCACGTTGACGTTCTCCACAATCCGCTGGAAGGTCTGGTACAGCTCCTCAGGCTCCAGCTGCAGCTCGAGCAGGGCACGGTCCATCTTGTTCATCATGAGCACAGGCTTGATGCGCTCAGCAATAGCCTGCCGTAGCACCGTCTCTGTCTGCACGCAGACGCCTGGGAGCCACAGTGACAGGGACATCAGTAGGAGGGACACAGCCCAGCCCCAGGGCTCTCGAGCAGGACCCCTGCTTACCTGACACACAGTCCACCACCACCAGGGCACCATCAGTGACTCGCAGGGCAGCCGTCACCTCTGAGGAGAAGTCCACGTGCCCAGGGGAATCGATGAGGTTGATGAGGAAGCCAGAGCCATCCTTGCTCTGCTTGATAAAGTTCAAGTCGTTCTCAGAGAGCTCGTAGAAAAGTGAGATAGCGCTGTAGAGGACACATATTAGCAGTGTGGTACCAACCCGACTCCCAGCTGCCCTCAGCAACAAACCCGGGCTCCGCACAGTCTGCACAAGGGACTTCGACCGCAGGGTGAGCAGGGACAGGGAAGAGCCAGCGATGCCTCCCAAGCACCCTGCCCGGCCCTTCCCTCCCAGCATTACTCATCCTGGCACAGGCTGCAGATGCCCCACTTGGGTGCGCCCACCCCAGCTCCTGGAGATGGGCACCACCTGGTACCCACATTTCTGGGCCCCATAATGTGGGCCCTGCAGGGGTCCTAACACCTGCAGACCCAGGCAGGACCAGCACCCAGGACGGATGGAAAAAAGTCCTAGCACACACTTGTGATCTCAGCACCAGAGGAGCCTGAGGCAGGAAGACCACAAGCTCAGTACACGCTAAACAACTCAGCAGCTTAACACACTGCCTCAAAGGTTTAAAACTGGCTGAGGATGTAATACACGGCAAAAACCTAGTTCAAGGCTCACTACCACAAAAAATAAGCAGCTATACACATGTAATGAGCTACCAACTGAAGACAACAGCCACGATGCCTTATCACCACACTACTAGGGACCAGAACAGCAATAATGTCCTGTACAAGACCAAAAATCATAAAACACTCCAAGGTGCCATCAGTATTCTCCCTTCCCAAGCACGACAACCAAAGCATCTTCACTGTCACCGCCCCTTAGAAGATGAGGGAAGGACTAGCTAAAGCCCCCAGCTCAGGACCCCCAGCCCTGCACCACCTCATTAGCCTGAACCTCCATCTCTCCACATTCCAACACCCCTGCCCCCAGAAGCTCAGTTCCTGTGAGTCTAGGGGCCCAGGCCTCCCCACCAGGGTCCAGGGCTGGCCGGAACTCACGTCGACTTGATGGTGATACAGCGCTCCTGCTCATCCTTCCGGGTGTCTGTGAAGCGGGTCTCCCCAGCACGGGCAGACGCGATGATGCCAGCTTTGCACACCAGGGAGTCCGTCAGCGTGGACTTGCCGTGGTCCACGTGGGCGATGACGGACATGTTGCGGATGTTGGCCTTCTTGTCCATGATGGCCCGGATCTGGTCTACAGTGAAGTTCACCTAGGCGGAGGGGGTGGGGCTCAGACCGGCAGGGATTCCAGGAACCCGGCTTGGCAGAGCAAGACCAGCCTGGGCTACGGACCGCCAGGCCCTGGGCCGGCAGGAAGCCAGGCCCCCTGCATACAGCCCTAAAAACCACTCAACCTTCCAAAAGCCGACTTCAGCCGTCACTCGCAACTGACAATCCAGAAAAGGGGCTGCAGGGCACCACCCCACAGTGACAGGTCTTCCAGAGCACCGGGTACCACGCTGCCATATACGGCCAGGACGAGAAAGCATCAAGGTTCCCCTAGAACGTTACTGCGCCTTCAACTTCCAACCAAAACGCTGCTCTAAAACCCAAGGTCACATCCGCACTTCCGGGACTAGGCTAGGCGACCCGGCACAAGGATGCTAAACGTGCCGCACCCCGGCTTGCGGGGAGCTTGGGCACCGCAGCACCCACGAGCGAGCACCTCGTGGCTCAGAAACAGGAAAGCTAAGGACTCAGCCCAAGGTTGCACAGCACCTTGCGGACGTTTGGGGCGGGGTATTTTTCGTATGCCTTCCTCCCTCCGCCACGTTCCCGCCGCCCCCGGCCCCCGATGGGAAGCCGAGCTCTGCTCGCGGGTTACATAAGGCGGACCCTTCTCC